AAGGCAACAATGTGGCTTCCTGCATTGAGGCCCCTCACTCAGAACCAGCCAATAGAGAGAAGAAATAGCCAATAGCCCCCATGGAGGTAAAACACTTGACTGCTCACCTTTAGCCCTAATGATAGGCTCAGAGAACTGGCCTGGGCTCCAATCCCTGCGAAATGGGCACCTTGAGCAAATCGCTTAACATTTGCAGGACTCACCTGCAAGAAAGACGTGGCAATAAGAATACTTGAACAATAAGAATAACGAACACCAGCTACGAGCGCCAGAGCCTTACACACAAGATCCCATTTATTCCTCTTAACCCTGGGAGGCATATTACCCATGAGGAAACTAAGGCTGAGAGAGAGAAGTAATTAGTATGAGGACCCAGTGAGTGGGTGGGGAGTTCCAAATCCTGTATGTTTAGCTTCAAGGCCCACGTGCTTCCTTGACCACAGGTTTGCAGATCAAGTGAGAAAATGAATGTAGCACATTGTAGAAGTCAAGTATTAGAATTCCTGGCTGGGCGCAATGGCTTACGCCTGTAATCCTGCACTTTGGGAGGCTGAGGCAGGTGGATGACCTGAGGTCAGGAGTTCGAGACCAGACTGATCAACATGGTGAAACCCCATCTCTACTAAAAATACAAAATTAGCTGGGCATGGTCGTGGGCACCTGTAATCCCAGCTACTCAGGAGGCTGAGGCAGGAGAATTGCTTGAACTAGGTAGGCAGAGGTTGCAATGAGCTGAGATTGCGCCCATTGCACTCCAGCCTGAGCAACAAGAGCGAAACTTCATCTCAAAAAATAAATAAACAAATAAATAGGCTGGGTGCAGTGGCTCACGTCTGTAATCCTAGCACTTTGGGAGGCCGAGGTGGGCAGATCACGAGGTCAAGAGATCAAGACCATCCTGGCCAACATGGTGAACCCCGACACCCATCTCTACTAAAACTAAAAAATTAGCTGGGCATGGTGGCACATGCCTATAGTCTCAGCTACTCGGGAGGCAGAGGCAGGAAAATTGCTTGAACCTGGCAGGCGGAGGTTGCAGTGAGCCGCGATCACGCCACTGCACTCCAGCCTGGCGACCGAGCAAGACTCCGTCTACAAAAAAAAATAGAATTCTTAGTCATTGCTGTCACGCACTTCATCCTAACTACTAACAAAAACATGCAACTCATGTTCCTTGTGCCTGCCCAGGCCTCTCAGTGGCCCTCAGTCATGCCATACCAGCTCTCCCCATGCTAGGGGTTCACCTACTTAGGTGAAAATGCTGCACTTTCACAAGGTGACCCAACCTGGCAGTAATCTCTGAGAAAGGAAGGTCCAGCCAGGCACGGTGGCTCAAGCCTGTAAACCCAGCACTTCGGGAGGCTGATGCGGGCGGATCACCTGAGGTCAGGAGTTCAACACCAGCCTGGCCAACATGGTGAAACCGTCTCTATTAAAAATGCAAAAATGTGCTAGGTGTGGTGGCACTCACCTATAAGTCCAGCTACTAGGGAGGCTGAGGCAGGAGAATTGCTTGAACCCTGGAGGTGGAGGTTGCAGTGAGTCGAGATCATGCCACTGCTCTCCGGCCTGGGGGACAGAGCGAGACTGTCTCAAAAAAAAGAAAAGAAGGTCCAGGGACTGGGGGGGAAAAGCTTCCATGAAGCTGGCAGGAGCAAATCATGCCACCAGCTCCTAGAAGCTTTGTGACTCAACTACTTAACTCAGAGATTTACTACCCAGCCTTAGAACTGCCTCCTCAATTCCTCCAAGGGCAGAGGACGTTTCAGGTCACCAGATGTTCACCTAAAACACTCTCCATCCCTCAGTGAAATATAAAAGATCTTGATCAGCAGGCTCACTCATCTGACAGTATCGACTTCCACAACTGGTTTTTTTTTTTTTTCCTTTGTAAAAGTAAAAAATAAATGTAGTCCAAAAGGATCTGAAGCCATACCCTAGAAGAGGTCCTGGTTTACTGCTCTGTGACAGACTTAGAATAGACCCTGGGCACACTTTCCTGACAGAGAGCTGCAGAGTTATATTGCCCTGCTCACAATACACAGATAAGCCCTCCTACTTCCTGAAATAGAGCAAACCAGGAGAAAAGGAAGAATGCAGTGAAGGACCAGCAGTGATTCATGCCTGCAATCCCAGCACTTTGGGAGGCCAAGGCAGGTAGATTACCTGAAGTCAGGAGTTCGAGACCAGCCTGGCCAACATGATGAAACCCCGTCACTACTAAAAATTAGCCAGGCACAGTGGCATGAGCCTGTAATCCAAGGTACTCAGGAAGCTGAGGCACGAGAATTGCTTGAACCCAGGAGGCAGAGGTTGTAGTGAGCCAAGATCACACCACTGCACTGCAGCCTGTGCAACAGAGATAGACTCTGTCTATAAATAAATACCCATAAGTTCCAGACCAGCCTGAGCAACAGTGAGCCCTCATCTCCACAAAAAAAAAAAAAAAAAAAAAATAGCTGGGTGTGGTGGCATGCGCCTGTAGTCTCAGCTACTCAGGAGGCTGAGGTGGGAGGATGGCTTGAGCCCAGGAGAAGGCTGAAGTGAGCTGAGATTACACCACTGCACTCTAGCCTGGGCGACAGAGCTAGCCTGTCTCAAAAACAAAGGAAACCAGTGAAAATTGCAACGCAAATGCTTGAAAATATCCTCTCATTTGTTCTAAGAGGGCAGGCTGGGCTGTGATCCCAGGGTGTGCTCACCATGGTTCAGCCTCCTGTTGTGCCCTCACTTTGCAGAGCCCCATTCTAAGGCAGCAGTCAGCAAGCTCTTCTGTAAAGGTCCAGGTAGTAAATATTCTAGGCTTTGTAGAGCACATGGTCTCTGTCACAACTATGTCATCAACTCTGCCCGTGCAAGAGCAGCCACATAAACATCTTAACAAATGAGCACCACGGCTGTGTTCCAGTAATATTTATTTATGGACTCTGAAGTCTCAGTTTCACATAATTTTCATGTCACAAAATATTATTAATTTCTTGTGAAAAAGGATTCTCCCGGCTGAGCTAAAACAGGTCAGGTCCAGGGGTAAGAAAAGGTAGTTCCCGGCCGGGCGCAGTGGCTCCACGCCTGTAATCCCAGCACTTTGGGAGGCTGAGGCGGGCAGATCACGAGGTCAGGAGATCGAGACCATCCTGGCTGACACGGTGAAACCCCGTCTCTACTAAAAATACAAAAAATTAGCCTGACATGGTGGCGGGTGCCAGTAGTTCCACATACTTGGGAGGCTGAGGCAGGAGAACGGTGTGAACCCGGGAGACGGAGCTTGCAGTGAGCCGAGATTGAGCCACTGCACTCCAGCCTGGGCAACAAAGCCAGACTGTGTCTCAAATAAAAAAAAAAGAAAAAAAAAGAAATGTTAGTTCCCATCCAGCCCTTAGTCTTTGAAAAAGGATCTACTCAGGGTGGGTGCGGTGGCTCACGCCTGTAATTCCAGCACTTTGGGAGGCCCAGGCGGGGAGATCACATAAGGTCAGGAGTTCAAGACCAGCCTGGCCAACACGGGGAAACCCCATCTCTACTAAAAATACAAAAATTAGCCAGGCGCGGTAGCGGGCGCCTGTAATTCCAGCTATTTAGGAGGCTGAGGCAGGGGAATCGCTTGAACCCGGGAGGCGGAGGTTGCAGTGAGCCGAGATCATGCCACCGCATTCCAGCCTCGGCGACAGAGTGAGATTCCGTCTCAGAAAAAAAGAAAGAAAAAGGCTCTACTCCAAACTCTTGCAGTGTTACTTTTATAATTTAGAACCACAAATAAATGAAGGGGTAGAGAATCAGTTTGCTGCTCTCCTTCCCCGATGGACTGGGGTACTTCAAGAATCTTGAGGACCAGACTTAGGATATAAGTCCTAAACCCTCATCTTACAAATCAAAAACACTGTGACACTGGGGCCCAAAACGAGAAAATGACTTTGCCAAGGTAAGTGGCAGGGCTGGTACAGGAATTCGGGTCCACTCCCTCTCAGCTCTGAGGATTCCTTATTCTCAACGGTAGCTTCTGTTAAAGGCGGAACATCAGGAGTGAGGGGCTCAATATTCCAGCCAAGGAGGTAGGTGAACAAGTTACCCCTTAGCACTGGAATAATTACAGACCCGGACTTCAGCCTGTGCCTAGGTCCGGCTCAGGTGACCAAAGAACCGTTCCAGGCGCCCGAGGGGTGATCCCTGACTCCTCTGCTGGGTGCTCGTGCCAGCTAACAATGGGTGAAAATTGGGGCGAGGAGCTCAAGCTGCTTTCTGCGCCCTCTGAAGAGCTTTTGTGCCTTTATAACCACCACGTTGGAAGGAAGAGCGCGGAGAAAGGTGCCTACTTTCTAAAAGAGAAAATTGAGGCCGAGCAAGGGGGTCGCGACAGTGCGAAGCGAGATAGCAGCGGAGCCAGCATTCGAACCCAGGTCCCTGAACTCCCAGCCCGGGATCTTTCTCACCCCTAACCACAGTGGGACGAAGTGGGGCCGGGATCTCCGGAACCCGCCTCTCGCTACCAGGCGCCGGAGCTGCAGCTCCCGAGGTTCTTATGAGATGCAGAAGACACTGCCCCGAATGCCTACAGCGGGCTGGCGCCGGCTCGCCTTCTTATAGGCTCGCAGCACTTCCAGTCGCGCGCGAGGCCTCCTGGGAAGTGAAGTCCAGAAGCCCGGGGTGGCCGGCTCCCAGCGCGCCAAGGTGCTAGCCCCCTAACTCCCGTTCCTCCTCGGCGTTTCTTCCCCAGGTCCGAAGTCAGGGTCCAGGACTGCTGTGATTCATCAGCTTCGCCTCTCATCCCCCATCTAGAGGGGACGGAAACGCTCAGGTGAACGCGAAGCCTCCCACCACTAGCCGGCCCTAAGCAAGGCCATGCGCAGTGTGGGCGGGAGCCCTAAGTCAGCTAGCGGCGTAGCTGGGAGGGCCCGGAGCAGGCCGCGCCCCGAACGGCGAAGGCTCCAACATGGCGGCCGGACTGGCCATTGAGCGGGAAGAGAAAGCCGGGGACTAGCAGGCAGCACGGCACAGACGGGGCCCGCGTCCTCCCTTTACTTCCGGAATTTAAAGCCGGCTTCCGGAAGCCGGGACGGTGTCCCCATGACAACCAACGTTGGCGTTTGGAGGTGAGAGTGATTGACGAGAAGTGGGTTAAGAGACCAGAAGTCAGCATTTTTGGTGCTGTTGTTTTGGGCTTGGGTTTTATGCTTTGTTGTTGTTTGCCAAGGAAGCCTTGTTTTTAAATGGATTGGGAGGCGTGAAGAATACTGCCCTAGGTACAAAGGGAAGGCGGCAGGTAGCGGTGGACGAATTAAAGAGCTTCATGAGCTTGCGAATCCCCACTGCCCTAAACTGGAGGGGATCGTCGTACGTAGAGACAGCCATGGGCGTTTCTGCATAACGGATCCTCAAAACAGCCCTGGATGGTGGCCTGTGAGTAGTGATTAAGGGCACGGATTTGGCGTCGCAGTTACGAAGCCTGGTTCTGCTGACTTGAGACCTGGAGGAATGCCTTGAACTCTGACTCCTGTGTCCTTTCCTGTAGAATGGGAATAATTCCTACCTTGCAGAGTTGTAGGGAGGATTAAAGGAAATGATCTTGGTTGACAAGTTTATCGTGGTGTGGGTACCTAGGTAGTAGCTATCAGTATTATTTAATGCGGCCGGGCGCGGTGGCTCACGCCTGTAATCCCAGCACTTTGGGAGGCCGAGGCGGGCGGATCACCAGGTCAGGAGATCAAGACCATCCTGGCTAACATGGTGAAACCCCGTCTTTACTAAAAATACAAAAAATTAGCCAGGCATGGTGGCACGCGCCTGTAGTCCCAGGTACACGGGAGGCTGAGGCAGGAGAATCGCTGGAACCCGAGAGGTGGAGGTTGCAGTGAGCCGAGATCATGCCGCTGCACTCCAGCCTGGCAACAGAGCAAGACTCTCTCTCTCTCTCTCTCTCCCCCCCCCCATATATATATATATGTGTATATATATTCTCTCTCCATATATATATGTGTGGGTGTGTATATATATTCATTATATATATATATATAAAAAAATGAATGAGGAAACCGCGTACATACGTCCAGTAAGGTGGGACTTCACCAGCTGAGGTGGAGGAGGTGCCTTAACCCTCTGGAGCCTCTGTGTAAAATGTGGATAATATACTTTATAATGGCTACTTCTCAAGATGGTTGTAGGATTAAGTAAGGTTAGAAATATGAAAAGAGCTTATACATTGCAAAACATTTTACCGATGCTAATTTAATCGCTAATACTCAAAGCATTTTGAAATTTCTTTATAGATTTGGCACAGCAGCAGGGTCATAGGACACCCCCAGAGCAACCTGTGGGTCTTGGAATAGATGAAAAGAAACAACTGCCACTGTGTTGCTACCATAACCCTAAAGATAAAGCCTTCCGGGAGACCCCTATTTCCTCTCTGCTTTTTCTGCCTACCGCACTTCACACAGGCACTTCACACTTCTGTGCCGGCATTTTTCCTGCCTAGTTAAGTATCGGTCTATTAGTTCTGTAAGAGACAGCTTAAGTCTAGTAGTTAAGAGCACAGACTGTGGACCCAGGCAGCTTGCATCCGAATACCATCTCTGCTACTTATTAACGATGTGACCTTGGACAAATTATTTTACCTCTCTTGGCCTCAGTTTTCTCATCTGTAAAATGGAGAAGGTAATAATGTATTATATCATCTACCTTGTGAGGTTTAAATAATGTTAGTGCTTGTAGAACACCCCCTGGCACATTGTAAGCAATGTGTAAGGATTTGCTGCCATTTTTGTTACCACTGCTACTACATGACCAGGCAGTCATTCTTCTCAATACTACTACTAGGTTCCTTTGGTTAGAGACAGCTCTGCATTTAGAAGGTTCCAGGCATGGAGAAAAGTTGGTGAAGGTCCTAGAATAAATGACTTCTTGGGGATTTTTGGTTGTTGGTTTTTTCACTAAAGTATCCCATGCGACTGGAGTGGTACCTGGCACACAGTAGGTCCTCAGTAAATGTTTATGGTATTAATACACTTCTAACCTTGCTTATTTTTTCGCCCCAACAGGTGCTTGCCTTAGAGCAAGGGAAACAGCTCTGATTCAAAGGAACTAGAAGCATCTCCCTTAGTGGTAGGGAGAGAGCCAGGAGCTGTTTTCTGGGAACTGTGGGATGTGCCCTTGGGGGCCCAAGAAAACAGAAGGAAGATGCTCCAGACCAGTAACTACAGCCTGGTGCTCTCGCTGCAGTTCCTGCTGCTGTCCTATGACCTCTTTGTCAATTCCTTCTCAGAACTGCTCCGAAAGGCTCCTGTCATCCAGCTTGTGCTCTTCATGTGCGTGCAGTAAGGCACTCTGGAAAGCTGAACCCAAGCAATTCAAAGGCCCTGACAGTGGTGATTTAGTGTCTAAAGTTATTAGTAGGCTGGGTACAGTGGCTCACACCCTTAATCCCAGGTCTTTGGGAGACCAAGGCAGGAGGATCTTTTGAGGCTGGGAGTTTAAGGACCAGCCTGGGCAACATAGCAAGACCCTGTCCCTACCTAATAAAAATTTTCAAAATTAGCTAGGCGTGGTGCCACACACCTGTAATCCCAGTGATTCAGGATGCTGAGGTAGAAGGATTACTTAAGCCCAGGAGTTCAAGGCTACAGTGAGCCATGATCATGCCACTGTACTCCAACCAGGTGACAAAGACCCTATCTCAAAAAAAAAAAAAAAAGGCCCGGTGGCTCATACTTGTAATCCCAACACTTTGGGAGGCCAAGGTGGGCAGATCACCCGAGGTCAGGAATTCGAGACCAGCCTGACCAACATGGAGAAACCCCATCTCTACTAAAAATACAAAAATTAGATGGGCGTGGTGTCACATGCCTGTAATTCTAGCTACTTGGGAGGCTGAGGCAGGAGAATTGCTTGAACCTGGGAGGCAGAGGTTGCAGTGAGCCATGATCATGCCACTGTACTCCAGCCTGGGCAACAGAACAAGACTTCATCTCCAAAAACAAAAAAAAATGTTAAGAGTGTCAGATAGCCTGGGCAACATAGTAAGGCCTTGTTTCTACTAAAAAATAGTTGTGTGTTGTTTTTTTTTTTTTTTGAGACGGAGTCTAGCTCTGTCACCAGGCTGGAGTTCAGTGGCATGGCACAATCTCAGCTCACTGCAACCTCCGCCCCCTGGGTTCAAGCAATTCTGCCTCAGCCTCCCTAGTAGCTGGGATTATAGGCGTGCACTACCACACCCCACTAATTTACCACACCCAGCTAATTTTTCTATTTTTAGTAGAGATGGGGTTTTGCCATGTTGGCCAGGCTGGTCTCAAACCCTTGACCTCAAGTGATCCACCCACCTCAGCCTTCCAAAGTGCTGGAATTACAGGCATGAGCTATTTTTAATTAGCTGAGTATAGTGGCACACACCTGTGGTCCCAGCTACTCAGGAGGGTGAGGCGGGAGGATCACTTGAGCCCAGGAAGTCGCTGCAGTGAGCTGTGATCATACCACTGCACTCCAGTCTGGGCAACAGAATGAGACCCTGTCTCGAAAAAGAAGAGTCTCAGAGAATCTTCTATAGGACTATGTATGGAAGAAATTTTAAAAATAAAGAGAGTATCAGAGCAGGAAAGCCTTGACTATGGACTGCAATCTAACTGATGGGGCCAGTGGGTAATTTTAGGTAATTTTAGCTTCCTGTCATTCAGGTCCCAAAACCCATGTTATCTCTGTGAGGGTTTAAGATGTCAGATGCCTATCTCACAGGAAAGGACAGGCCTCGTGGTGTCCCTCAGGACATAGTACCTGCTCTTGGGTCCTCACGCAGGCCTCCATTGGTTGTACTTTTTTTATGTCTACAGCATCCAGGATATTGCAGTCCTCTTCAACATCATCATCATTTTCCTCATGTTCTTCAACACCTTCGTCTTCCAGGCTGGCCTGGTCAACCTCCTATTCCATAAGTTCAAAGGGACCATCATCCTGACAGCTGTGTACTTTGCCCTCAGCATCTCCCTTCATGTCTGGGTCATGGTAAGAGTGGAAGTCTGGATTCTTTTTTTAATTTTTATTTTAAATAGAGATGGGGTCTTACTATGTTACCAAGGCTGGTCTCGAACTCCTGAGCTCAAGCGATTCTCCTGCTTCTGCCTCCCAAAGTGCTGGAATTACAGGCGTGAGTCACTGTGCCCAGCCTGAACTCTGAATTCCTGAATCCCTAAAGGGCTAGGGATAACTTTTCTTTCCTTTTTTTTTTTTTGAGACGGAGTTGCGCTCTGTCGCCACGCTGGAGTGCAGTGGCACAATCTCAGCTCACTGCAACCTCTGCTTCCCAGGTTCAAGCAATTCTCCTGCCTCAGCCTCCTGAGTACCTGGGATTATAGGCACACGCCACCATGCCCAGCTAATTTTTGTATTTTTAGTAGAGACAGGGTTTCACCATGTTGGCCAGGATGGTCTCAATCTCTTGACCTCGTGATCCTCCCGCCTCGGCCTCCGAAAGGGCTGGGATTACAGGCATGAGCCACCGCACCCGGCCACTGGGATATCTTTTCTCTGGGAACTCAGCTTCATTCTTTGACATCTCAGGCAATCCTTCATAGAGAACAGGTGAAATGAAAGTGGTTTGAGTTGGAGCTCTGGGCATGTGAGAGTTTCATAAGGTGCTCTTGACCAACCTTAAGTGTTGAAAAACAGCCTTGTCCAAGAGTCACCGGACTCTTCCAGAACATGCAATTCACCTTTGCCCCAAACAGGCCTACCAGGGCTAAAACAGGTAGTTGAATGTGTTTCATCATTAGTTATTTGGGCAGGTGGATGTCGATACAGGTTATTCTTAGGCATCAGTGCCCCATGGCTAATGCTGTAGGCAGTGGACATTTCTGGGAAGTAGCCAAGCAGGATTGCTGCTTGCCCTTGAGCGCTCCATGCCCTCTGCCGCGCTCCCATCACTTTAACTAGGAGAACCGGCCTCCAAGATGCCTCCCTTTGGTTCTAACATAGGCCTCAGATCAGATCCAGTGTCCATGGTTTCAGATTTCTTCTGCTTCACAAATTCTTCCAGCTCTTTGAATATCTTACATGTTTCTCATGCACTCGATTGAATTGAACTCTTTAAAACCTCAGGGTTCTGTAGTTGTCACTTCATTATTAAAGCCACTTTCACACCCGAACCCCCTGTTAGGTTGCGCTTGTGATTCCACAGAGAGAAGTAGAACTCCCAGGAAAGAAGCAAAGCAACACCAGAGTCTCTGGGTGCTTCCTGAAGAGGATTCTGTGCTCTGGTTCCTGCAGCCAAAATAGGTCCTAGCTTTGTACTATAAAAGCCGTTAATCTCATTAAACCCTGAGTGCACCAAAGTCTTTATCTGACAAGAGCTGAGCCAGCGTTTTTCAAGGCAAGATAGTGACCAGCTGAACTCCTGAGATAATGAGTATACCATTTCTCCTTGGCAAAGGTTATGGAATGAAAGAGGATAAATAACTTAGTTCATACTTCCTCCCTCAAAGTTAAAAGGATATTCCCTTTGCAGCAAAAAAGGGAGCTTGAGGCTCCTTCGAGAAACACTCGTTGGGGTTGTAGAAAGGAGGGAGAGGTTAGTGTGATTTTAAACCAACTGGCATCTGCAGCTAACCAAGTTGGAGACATTAGGGCCTCTTGTGGCCATTAACTTTTGTGTGTCTCACATCTCCTTCAGAACTTACGCTGGAAAAACTCCAACAGCTTCATATGGACAGATGGACTTCAAACGCTGTTTGTATTCCAGAGACTAGGTAAGGACCAGAGCAAGATCAGGCCTCTCTTGGGTCCCACATGTGTCTCTTTCAGTAAGGCCCTTGATTCCGGCTTCTCAGCCCTGTCCCAGCTGGTTTGGGATGGTTGCAACAGCCACACCAGGAACAGGAGGGATTACTGCCCCTGCCCTTGCTGGAAGACCATGGGAAATCAGGAGGCAGAGCTGCCCAGCCTCATTAGGTTCTGTTCTTAACCTGAAATGATACTCAGGAGCACCCCTGAGGCTTCTCTTCTGCTTCCTCCCTGCAGCGGCAGTGTTGTACTGCTACTTCTATAAACGGACAGCCATAAGACTAGGCGACCCTCACTTCTACCAGGACTCTTTGTGGCTGCGCAAGGAGTTCATGCAAGTTCGAAGGTGACCTCTTGTCACACTGATGGATACTTTTCCTTCCTGATAGAAGCTACGTTTGCTGCTCTGCAGGGAGAGTTGGCCCTATGCATGAGGAAACAGCTGGACTTTCCAAGGAAGGTTCAGACCAGCTGTGTTCAGCATTCAAGAAGGAAGATCTTCCCTCTTGCAAATCAGAGTGTCCCCATCGGTCTCCAGTGCGGCATCCCTTCCTTGCCTCCTACCTCCGTTCCACCCCCTTTCCTTCCTTTCCTCTCTGTACCATTCATTCTCCCTGACCCGCCTTTCTTGCTGAGGATTCTGTGGCTCTTACCCTTGTGAAGCTCTTCCTTTAGCCTGGGACAGAAGGACCTCCCAGCCCCAAAGGATCTCCCAGTGACCAAAGGATGCGAAGAGTGATAGTTACATGCTACTGACCGATCACACCGCAGACATTTAGATTTTTATACCCAAGGCACTTTTAAAAAATGTTTTATAAATAGAGAATAAATTGAATTCTTCTTCCATAAATGGTGGAGTCTGTCTAGCTAAATCTCTTCATGGTTAAGAGGCGTGCTAACGTCCAGCTTAGCATCTACTTGACCCAGAGGGAAGATTGAGCCACAGATGAAATACAGATCTTTATTGAGTTCCACTGTGAGTACAAAGTATTTTAGTGGAAATTCAAGATGGAATCTGATGCTGCATCCCCCACTCCTGGAGTTCCAGATTTCTGTGCTCTGTTCAGACTCTCCTTATCAGAAACCTTAACTGCCCTCAGAAGAATAAAAATATTCCTTAGCCAGTTTTGGCAAAAGCAATTTTTAAAATTCATGTGTCCATAGTATCAGTTTTCTATTGCCGGAATACTGTGTGACAGACCACCACCAAAGTTCAGGGGCATACAGCAATAAACAGCTGCCAGGCGCTCTGTCCTGGGTTCAGCTGATCAAGGCTGTGTGTGGGTGGTTTCAGCTGGGCTCACTCATGTGTCTGGTCAGCCGCAGGTCAACTAGGCATCTGTGATGGCCTTGGGATCCATTGGCAGTTGGCTAGCCTGCAATGACCTCAGCTGGAGTGACGGATTACTCAGCTCTGGTTTGCAGGATTCACTTCCCACAGACTAGCCTGTGTCTGCTCACATGCCAGTGGCAGAGCAGGAAAGTCCCGTGTGCAACCCCATTTCAAGCCTGTGCTTGTCTTGTATCTCTTAGACTCCTATTGATCAAGGCAAGTCATGCGACTAAGCCCAGAATCAAAGTGGGAAATGGTTACCAACCACAAGTTCTTAGACTCTCATTGCTATAGAAGTTGACAGGAGGCTAAAAGAATTTGCCACCAAGGCTTCATTGGAGCTTATGCCTGGGCATAAGGTACACAACACAAATGAAAGAGTTCCCTGACTGACTCCGAAAAAAACCTGCAGGGTTTTTCTCTTAGGCAAAGTGTTGGAATTGACCTCGGGTAGGGTAGGCAGGCTGGGCTGAGCAAAGCACGTGAGGGGTAGGGTGTGCAGGTCAGCATCTTGTTGTGAGGGTTATCTTGAATAATGGACCACCAGGTGGTCTGGCCAATGGCAACAAATCTGTATTCTTTCCTGAGGAGGGACACTCCACACACAATGTTGGTTTGATATTTTGGACCTCCTAAGGCCGGTTCCCGGAATTCTAAGTAAAAGGCCTGGATAAACATTGTGAGAGCACAGAAGATGAATACAAAATGGCAATTTACTTTGTATGACTAACGCGTTGGCAATAGTGGATACATCAGCAAGGTAGAGGTGTCAGTGGGGATGCATGAAAGGATGCTTTGTGGTCAGTGGGGATGCATGAAAGGATGCTGTAGTGGGGGTGAGCTGAAGCCATGCCCCGTCTCTACTCTGTCTCAAAAGCACTATAAAGTTTCGGCCGGGCACGGTGGCTCACGCCTGTAATCCCAGCACTGTGGGAGGCTGAGGCGGCCGAATCACAAGGTCAGGAGATGGAGACCATCCTGGCCAACATGGTGAAACCCCGTCTCTACTAAAAATACAAAAAATTAGCTGGGCGTGGTGGCGGACACCTGTAGACCCAGCTACTGGGAAGGCTGAGGCAGGAGAATGGCGTGAATTCTCCTGTTGCAGTGAGACGAGATCATGCCACTGTACTCCAACCTGGATGACAGAGCGAGACTCCATCTCAAAAAAAAGAGAAAAGAAAACTGGAAAGAGAAAAACTGTTTCAAGGACTATAGCACACCTGTTGTTAGAGTCTAGTCTTGCCTAATATTTTTCAATTTTATTATTTTCTACAGTTTGGACTGAATTCTAATTTTTCTTGGCTACAAGTCTTCAAAATAATGTTTTCAATTTTTTTCTTCTTTTTTCCATTTTTTTTCTAATTTAGAGTCACGGAAAACTAAGCTGTGCGTTCGTAAAGCCCTGCAAACTGAATCTAGACAGCTTCAGAAGAAAGTAACAGCAACTATTTACAGACGTAAGCCACTTACATACCTGCCTACTGATGTATGGACTTCAGAGTCATGTGGCTTATAGCGATTTTCCAGGATTGTGCTTTTGTTTGTTGTTGTTCTCCCTTTCTCCTCCATTTTCTCTTCATAGGACATGACACTTCACAACTTTCTAAAAATGAGTTTTCCTAATAACTCAGGACCTACTTGTCTAGAAATAAACCTTCCTAGCCATGAGAGATCAGATGAAACCTGAGACGATAGACTCATTTTTTTCTAAAATGCTTTCTCTAAAAGATTTTTAAAAAGAAAAAGGAGGAAATGTGAAAGGAAGGTATCTTGGGCCCCCAAATCACTCAGCTAAAGGCAAACGTCAAGCTGGGAACTGCTTAGGGCAAGCCTGCTTCCCATTCTAATCAAAGTCACTGCTCTGCTCACTGAGACAAATGCATATCTGATTGCCTCCTTTAGAGAGACTCATGAGAAACTCAAAAGAATGCATCCATTTGTCTTTTGTCTACCTATGACCTGTAAGCCCCTCCCTGCTTTGAGTTGTCCTGCCATATTGTTTCACTGAGCTAGACTAAGGCATACGTGACTATTCCTCTACCCTCCTCTCACATGTAAATTGTGCATTCAGTGAAAGGTTAATCAGAAACTCAAAAGAATGTAATTGGTTCTCTCTCATCTACCTATGACCTGGAAGTCCACTCCCCTGTTTACAGTAGTCCCACCTTTCTGGACCAAACCAGTGTACATCTTACACATACTGATTGATGTCTCACGTCTCCCTAAAATGTATAAAACCAAACTGTGCTCTGACCACCTTGAGCACATGTTGTCAGGACCTCCTGAGGCTGTGTTGTTACAGGCACATGTTCTCAACCTGGCAAAATAAACTTTCTAAATTAACTGAGACCTGTCCCAAATTTTCTGGGTTTACACTAACTTGGCGATCCAAGATTTATTTTCCTTTCACACTGGTCAATTGTGCCTGAATTCCAAAGGGAGGAGAGTATAATGAAGCATGTCCAAACACCTCTTCCAATTAACGACCTGAACTAGTTTTTCAGGTTTAGTTTGGAATCCCCTTGGCCGAGAGGAGGGTTCATTCAGTCTATTAGGGGACTTAGAATATTACTTTTGGTCTACACCAGGGAGGACATGGAAGCTCCCTGGCTCTTTTCTATACATTGTCCTATGCGTCTCTTCCATCTGGCTATTCTAGAGTTCTTTCCTTTTGTAATAAACCAGCAATCTAGTAAGTAAACTGTCTTCCTGAGTTCTATGAGCCATCCTAACAAATTACTGAACCCAAGGAGAGGGCTGTGGGAATCTCTGATTCATAGCCAGTGGGTCAGAAGTACCACAGAGCCAGACTTGCGATCAGCATTTGAAGTGGGGGCATTCTTTTTTTTTTTTTTTTTGGGATGGAGTCTCCCTCTGTCGCCCAGGCTGGAGTGCAGTGGGGCGATCTCGGCTCACTGCAACCTCCGCCTCCCGGGTTCACGCCATTCTCCTGCCTCAGCCTCCCAAGTAGCTGGGACTACAGGCGCCCACCACCTCGCCTGGCTAGTTTTTTTGTATGTTTTAGTAGAGACAGGGTTTCACCGTGTTAGCCAGGATGGTCTCGATCTCCTGACCTCATGATCCGCCCGTCTCGGCCTCCCAAAGTGCTGGGATTACAGGCTTGAGCCACCGCGCCCGGCCGAAGTGGGGGCATTCTTGTGGGACTGAGCCTTACTTAACCTGTGGGCTCTGATGCTAACTCCATGTAGTGTCAGAATGGAATCGAATTCTAGGACACCCAGCTAATGTTGAATAATTTGTCAGTGTGGGAAAACACCCACACATACCATCATACCTGGCTAATTTTAATTTTTTTTTTTGTAGCGATGGGGCCTTCCTACTGTTGCCCAGGCTGGTATCAAACTCCTGACCTAAAGCAATCCTCCTGCCTGGGCTTCCCAAAGTACTGGGATTACAAGCATGAGCCACTGCACCTGGTGGAAAAAAGCACTTTGAAAGGCCTTAGAGACTTCCATTCTTCTAACTGACCAACACTCCAGTGACGAACTAGAAAAGCCAGATTTGAGGCTCTTTTTTTTGAGATGGAGTTTCACTCTTATTGCCCAGGTTGGAGTACAGTGGCGTGAGAGATATATATGTATATATAATATTTAATATATATATATAGTATTGTTAGTAGAGACGGGGTTTTGCCATGTTGGCAAGGCTGGTCTTGAACTCCTGACCTCAGGTGATCTGCCTGCCTCGGTTTCTCAAGGTGTTGGGATTACAGGCATGAGCCACTGCACCCAGCCTAAATAATAATGTTTAAAAATCATATTTTTAATATTCTCAGAGAGCTGGTGAAGAAAGAAGGACCAGCAGGCCTAAAATTCTAGAGTAGGGAGAATCATAGAGAAGCCAGCTGACAATTGCCACAGATTCCTCCCCGGGGCATTTACTAATTCTGTGATTGAGCAAGAGGCTAGGAATCCAAGCATTGCCCAGACAAGGTTGCAGAAAAGCCAGCTGAGCTGAGTCATCTCCTAACCCTGAAGGAAGAAAATCAGGACATCAAAGAGCCTTTAAAACATAACAGAATTTTTCCTTAAGATATTTGCCAAATTCTGAAGCTGTGTAGAACTAGAGGTTATAAAAATCAAAGCCTCCGGCCAGGCGCGGTGCTTCATGCCTGTAATCCCAGCACTTTGGTGAGGCTGAGGTGGGTGGATCATCTGAGGCCAGGAGTTCGAGACCAGCCTGGCCAAAACGGTGAGCTCCCTGTCTCTACTAAAATTGCAAAAATTAGCCGGGCCTGGTGGCGTGTGTCTGTAATCCCAGCTACTTGGGAGGCCAAGGCAGGAGAATCACTTGAACCCAGGAGGCAGAGGTGCAGTGACCATGCCACTGCACTCCAGCCTGGGTGACAGAGCAAGACTCTGTCTCAAAATAAATAATAATAATAATAAAATAAGCCCCAAACCTCTGAGAAGCAGAGTAGAATTTCTGACTGATACTGATGAAGATTAGAATTTAGGACCCACCTGGGCAAAGGGATTGGCAAACACACAGGGCTTTCATATGAATGCTCAGGAGGGCTTCTTACTGGAACAGGATGAAACAGGTGGACTGAAATTTGTCAGAATTGTAGTGCAGGCCAGGTGTGGTGGCTCACGCCTGTAATCCCAGCACTTTGGAAGGCCAAGGCGGGCGGATCACGAGGTCAGGAGATCGAGACTAGCCTGGCTAACATGGTGAAACACCGTCTCTACTAAAAGTACAAAAAATTAGCTAGGCACGGTGGCACGTGCCTGTAGTCCCAGCTACTCAGGAGGCTGAGGCAGGAGAATCGCTTGAACCTGGGAGGCAGAGGTTGCAGTTAGCCGAGATCACGCCACTGCACTCCAGCCTGGGTGACCGAGTGAGACTCTATCTCAAAAAAAAAAAAAAAAAAAAAAATTGTAGTGCAGCCTAAAACCATAAAGTCCCTGAGGGGGTTAAAGTGATCAGCACCCATTCTATCTGCCTAGCAAGGAAAGGGTGGAAGAAAAAAACATCTGTAAGTTTTTATAGACAATTTCTGGGTCTAATAAAAATTACTAGCTTGCTAAGAGGTAGGGCCATATCAATAAAACAAGAGAAAAACTAGGACATAGAAATAGGTGATCTCAGTGTTAAAAAAGGCAGACAAGGAGTCAACAATAGAGGAAAACAAAAATGAGCCAGGCGTGGTGGCGCAGGCCTGTAATCCCAGCTACTTGGGAGGCTGAGGCAGGAGAATCTGTTGAACCCAGGAGGTGGAGGTTGCAGTGAGCTGAGATGGTGCCGCTGTACTCCCGTCTGGGCAACAAGAGCGAAGAGTGAAACTCCATCTCAAAAAAAAAAAAAAAAGGAAAATATGGAAGAAATAAACAAAATATCATTAACTTAAAATAATCAAAAGGGTCAGAATGTATTTTAAAGAGTGTATTCAAGAGCAAAGATTCTGGCCAGATGCAGTGGCTCATGCCTGTAATCCCAGTACTCTGGGAGACTGAGGAGGGTGGATTACTTGAAACTGGGAGTTCAAGACCAGCCTGGGCAACATAGGAAAACTCCCATCTCTACATACAAATTTTAAAAATTAGCTGGGTGTGGTGGTATGCATTTGTAGTCCCAACTACTCGGGAGGCTGAGGTAGGAGGATTGCTTGTATCCAGGAGGTTGAGGCTGCAGCGAGCTGTGATTGCACTACTGTACCCCAGCCTAGGCAGCAGAGCAAGACCTTGTCTCGAAAGAAAAAAAAAAATTAAACCAAGCTAATTAAGAGAGGGAGTAGTTATAAAATTGTTCATCAGGAATTATCATTGATTTACAGAAGGAACATTGGTTCGTGATTGGCTATACCTTGTTGAACTGTCGGGTTTATGGTATTTTATGGCTCCTTGGCGTCAGTCTAGAGTCCACATAGCAAGTGGCTTCAAGAGGTGATTATTTAACTCAAGGGGGAAATGAGACGTGACCGTGGCTATGTTTTTAAATGCATTTCTGAGCCTGACAATTTAAAGAGACCCATGTTCCTCAGATAAAAGATTTTTCTCCTTCTCAATTTTTTTTTTTTTTTTTTTTTTGAGATGGCGTCTCATTCTGTCACGCGGGCTGGAGTGCAGTGGCCAGATCTCAGCTCACTGCAAGCTCCGCCTCCCAGGTTTACGCCATTCTCCTGCCTCAGCCTCCCGAGTAGCTGGGATTACAGGCGCCCACGACCATGCCCGGCAATTTTTTTTTGTATTTTTAGTAGAGACGGAGTTTCACCATGTTGGCCAGGCTGTTCTCGAACTCCTGACCTCGTGATCTGCCCACCTCGGCCTCCCAAAGTGCCGGGATTACAGGCATGAGCCACTGCGCCCAGCCTCTTTCTCAATATTTAAACAGGGTCCTGCATGTGAGCAACTGAAACCACTAGAGAGGAAGATGGGAATCTTAGAAAGAGCCACAGAGGGAAATCCCCACATTCCATCTGCCCACACCTCCACCCAAGCTCTGAACCCCACACAGGCAACTCAGACTCCACGCAGCTCAGTTAAAGACAGAGGATCTAAACTGGCCAGGTGTGGTGTCTTGCACCTATAATCCCAGCTACTCAGGAGGCTGAAGCCAGGAGTTCAAGACCAGTATAGGCCACATAGCAAGGAATCATCCCCCATCTCTAAAAATAAAATAATAAAATAAAAAAGATCTAAACTGAGGATTGGAGCTGCCAACTCAATAAGGGTGACTGCAGTATATAACTGAGCTAACCACCTGATAAAGAATCATCACTCTTTGGAGAAAAGTAACAGAAACGAATCTCCAACATTTACAACTGCCACCAACAATGAGATGGTCCAGATATCAGAATTAACAAACAAGAATATGAAAACATCAGTGAAAATAGTATCTCAAGGCTGGGCACAGTGGCTCACGCTTATAATCCCAGCACTTTGGGAGGCCGAGGCAGGCGGATCACCTGAGGTCAGGACTTAAAGACCAGCCTGACCAATATGGTGAAACCCCATCTCTATTAAAAATACAAAAATTAGCCAAGCCTGGTGACGTGTGCCTATAGTCCCAGCTACTTGGGAGCCTGAGCAGGGAGAATCGCTTGAAGCCGAGAGGCAGAGGTTGTGGTAAGCCGAGATGGCACCACTGCACTTCCAGCCTGAACTCTGTCTCAAAAACAAACAAAGAAACAAAAACAAAAGATAGGCTGGGCAGGCCGGGCGCGGTGGCTCAAGCCTGTAATCCCAGCACTTTGGGAGGCCGAGACGGGCGGATCACAAGGTCAGGAGATCGAGACCGGCAAATCCCTGGCTAATACCGGTGAAACCCAAAACGGCAAGCGTCTCTACAAAAAAAAACTACAAAAACTAGCCGGAGCCGATGTGGCTGCGGCGCCCTGTAAGTGGCCCAGCCTACATCGGAGAGGCGAGGCGCGGACGACATGTGGCGTGAACCCCGGGAAGAGGGCCCCGGGAGCTTGCAGTGAAAGCTGAGATCTGGGGCCACGCGCAGCTCCAGCCCCTGGCCGACAGAGCACAGACAAAAAAAAAAAAAAAAAGATAGGCTGGGCCACGGTGCTAACCGCCTGTGCACATACCCCTACGCACTTTAAGGAGGCCGAAGTGGACAAACTGATCGTCAGGAAGTTGAGAGCGCACACCACCTTCTGCGCGGCCGGAGCGCGGCACGACAGGACGCGACAGTACGCCCTGATCTCCCCACGCTGAAAACGAGCCAACA